CCTGGGGTGGGCACTATTATCTTTATTTTACGTCGGAAAAAAATGGGAACAGAGAGGCTGGGTAACTTGCCCAAGGTCACCCTCAAGCACACCCACCTAAGCAACTGGGATTTGAACCCAGGCGGCCCGGCGCCAGGGTCTGGCTTCCTCCCAGCATGCTGTGATCCGCGCTCTCAGCCCGTGGTGGCACTTATGGTCTACTGGTGGCGCTTATGGTCTATGGGTGGAGCAGCTTTTCAGAGAACCCAGGGGGCATCCTCCGCCTCCTCTGGGAGAGGCTTGGAGAAGCTGCCGGAAGAGAGCTGAACGTTCACAGGGACCCAGGAGTTTGGGCTGGAGAAGGGTCAGAGAAAATGGCTTCATGGAGCCGTTCTGGAGTTCCCTCTGGTCGCGCCGTCTGCCCCGGGAGAAGAGGGACTGAGCTCACTGGAGCCTGTGAGATGAAGAGAAAATGAAGTCTTGGGAACTTGGTCTGCTCAGGCTGTCATAACAAAATGTGACAGACCAGGGGGCTTAGACATAGACATTTTTTCTCAGGGTTTTGGAGGCCGGAAGTCCAAGATCAGGAGGCCAGGAGGGTTGAGGTGCGGTGAGGCCTCTCTCCTCGGGGTGCAAATGGCTGCTTTCTCTCTGTGTTCCCAGATGGCTTTTCCTCTTTGCTCACATGGAGAGAGAGATCTCTCGCGTCTCTTCCTCTTTTTTTTTTTTTAGTAAAATTGATTTTTAAATTTTTTAAAATATAATTTATTGTCAAATTGGTTTCCATACAACACCCAGTGCTCATCCCAACAGGTGCCCTCCTCCTCGATACCCCTCACCCACCCTCCCCTCCCTCCCACCCCGCCATCAACCCTGTTTGTTCTCAGTGTTTAAGAGTCTCTTATGGTTTGCCTCCTTCGTCTCTAACTTTTTTGTTTTCTCTTCCCCTCCCCCATGGTCTTCTGTTAAGTTTCTCAAGATCCACATAATGAGTGAAAACATATGGTATCTGTCTTTCTCTGCCTGACTTATTTCACTTAGCATAATACTCTCCAGTTCCATCCACGTTGCTGCAAATGGCCAGATTTCATTCTTTCTCATTGCCAAGTAGTGTTCCATTGTATATAGAAACCACATCTTCTTTATCCATTTGTCAGTTGATGGACATTTAGGCTCTCTCTTCGTCTTCTTAAAAAATTTTTTTTTTTTTTCAACGTTTATTTATTTTTGGGACAGAGAGAGACAGAGCATGAACGGGGGAGGGGCAGAGAGAGAGGGAGACACAGAATCGGAAACAGGCTCCAGGCTCCGAGCCATCAGCCCAGATGCCCGACGCGGGGCTCGAACTCACGGACCGCGAGATCGCGACCTGGCTGAAGTCGGCCGCTTAACCGACTGCGCCACCCAGGCGCCCCTCTCTTCGTCTTCTTATAAGCTCACTAGTCTTATCGCATTAGAGCCCCACCCTTTTGACCTCATTTAACCTTCATTCCCTGCTTAAAGCCCCTATCTCCAAATACAGTCATATTGGGGGGTAGGGTTTCAACATGTGAATTTGGTGGGGGAGAGGGGAAACAATTCAGTCTATAAGAGAAGCCAAGGACCTGCAGAGTTATTCATCCCAAACTTAGTAGAATATTCTCTAAACTTAGACAAAGTCATTGTTGATTTCCTGGCATTGATCCACTAATACATTTTTCCGTACATCCTGAGCGCTTCCCGTGGGCCCTTGGGAAACAGTGATTAGTGGGGCACTTTGTCTACATCAAGCTCTCCTCGTGGGGTCACCGTCAGTTAGAAAGCCATTTATGTGTACTGCCGTGGGGACAGGGGATGTGGGGAGCCCTCTCACCCAGAGGGGCCCTCTCACCCAGACATGGGAAGGTCAGGAAGGCTTCCTGGAGAAACGGATGCTTGGGTTGAAACCTGCAGAAGTAGGTGTTCATTGGTAGAGGGCTGTTCCGGGCAGAACGAATGGGCATACAAGGCCTGTGGAGAGAGGGAACATAGCTCAAGGAGCCACATGTTGGCCCAAGGCCAGGCCAGGGTCTTGTCAGCTTAGCTAAGGAGTTTGGGCCTTATTTAAGGGCAGAGGGGGGGCGCCTGGGTGGCGCAGTCGGTTAAGCGTCCGACTTCAGCCAGGTCACGATCTCGCGGTCCGTGAGTTCGAGCCCCGCGTCGGGCTCTGGGCTGATGGCTCAGAGCCTTGAGCCTGTTTCCGATTCTGTGTCTCCCTCTCTCTCTGCTGCTCCCCCGTTCATGCTCTGTCTCTCTCTGTCCCAAAAATAAATAAACGTTGAAAAAAATAAGGGCAGAGGGGAGCCACTGGAGGGTTTTAAATAGCAGAGGGATGAGGTCAGCTTTTATTTAAAAAAAATTTTTTTTAAATGTTTATTTATTTTTGAGAGAGAGAGACAGCACGAGCAGGAGGGGGAGCAGAGAGAGAGGGAGACACAGAATCGGAAACAGGCTCCAGGCTCCAGGCTGTTAGCACAGAGCCGGACGCGGGGCTTGAACCCGTGAACCGTGAGATCCTGACCCGAGCCGAAGTCAGACACTTAACTGACTGAGCCACCCAGGCACCCCAAGGCTGTTGGGTTTTAAATCTGTAGCACTCGGTGACATTTCAAAGGAAGGGGGCGTGGGGACCGCAGCCTGGGTTTGGCCCGGTGCCTGGGCGTGCGGCCGTGCCATCGGTGGAGGTGGGTGGTAGAGGGGACCGTGTGGAGCGGGTCGGCCAGCCTCCGGGCAGGTTGCTGGGGCTGGGGCTGGGTTTGGATCTGGGGACTCCTCCGAGGAAGTGCCGGGTCCCCCGAGAGCCCGTGCTTCGGCAGCGCCAGGAGACGGTGGGGGGCGAGCTGACCCCACCCCTCCCACAGACCATCGTGGACATCTTGGAGTGCTCCAACAAGAAGAAGCTGCGGCAGCTGACGTGTGAACTGAAGGAGTGGGAGGAGAAGGAGGAATCCAAGCTGAAGCGTGAGGATCCCCGGGGCGAGCTCCCCGGTCCCCTCTCTGGCTTCTGGGAGGTCAGCAGGGCGCCCGCCTTGCACCTGCCTTTTGGAAACCAGCAGCCCCGTCATCCCCCTGGTTCGGCAGGTGGAATTGCTAAGATGCAGAGCTTAGGGGCTTACTTCTGGAGAACTTGGCGCTTCGAGGCCCCGCGAGGCTTCCCCTTTACGGGCACTCTTGGTCACTGCGGCTCCCTGTGAGGCAGGGACCGTTCACCCATTTTACAGATGGGAAAGCCGAAGCGAAAGGAAGTGAAAGTAGCCCGCCGAAGGTCACATAGCTGGGCGCCAGAATCCAGCCCCAGCTTGCCTCTTTCCTGCCAAGGTCCCTCTGGGAGCCGGTGGCTGGGTCCCTCTGGTCCCGGGTCTTCGATCGTGTTGAGCCCGTGGTTTCTTTCCCCGGAGCAGACTGGAAGCCTTCTGAGGGAAGGGGCGGTGTGTCGGCGAGCCTCAGACCCTGGGACACCACCCCCATGGAGGGCGGCAGGACAGACTTTGTCTTAATGGTCGTTTCATGGGCCCGTTGCCCTGGGAGCAGGCGCATGAGGAGACAGGTCCAGGGAGGGACAGTCTTGGCGAGGGTCACACAGTAAGTGGGCCTCCCGCATCTCCTGGGAGGGGTCCTTGAGGGAGGATCCTGCCTCCTGTCCCTCCTGACCTCTCCAGACCTGGAGCAGCAGGTGGAACAGCTGAACGCCACGATCGAGAAGACCCAGAAGGAAGTGAACTTCCTGAGCACGTACATGGACCGCGAGTACCCTGTCAAGTCGGTCCAGATTGCCAACCTTGTGCGCCAGCTGCAGCAGATAAAGGACAGCCAGCAGGTAGGTGCGCCCTTGGCCCCGCTCCGCTGGACCATACTGGAGACAGGGCTGGTGGCCAACACCCTCCTGCTGGCCCCTAGGATGAGCTGGATGACCTTAATGAGATGCGCAGAAAGGTCCTGGAGTCTTTGTCTGAGCAGATTCAGAGGAAGAAGAAAAAACTTCTGAGATCTCTGGTGGTGGTGAGTAGCCAGCTGCTGGGGTAGGTATCCAGGTCCTGCCCCAGCCCTGCTTTCTTCCCCGTCCTCTGCCTCCAGGCCCCCTGCACCCCCTCTGGTCTCTACCACGCACTGCTGCCCAATAAGAGGCACTGGGGGGCCAGACCTCTCCTCCCTCCACAGAAAAACCAGCAGCGCCATCAGGAGGCTCTTCTGCAGAAGATCCGGGATGGCCAGGACATGCTGAGATGCACGGGCAAGTTCAGAGAAGTGAGTGGGCACGGAAGGTGACGGTCCCTCCGGGAGGGAGCAGAAGGGTGGGCGGTCCCCAGGACCTGTGGGAGTCAGGCTGGTCTTGATCTGGCGCTCGGGTCTCCAGCCCTGGTACTGGCCTCCCTCCTAGCCAGTGCCTTACTGTCACCTGCCATTCATCGTAGGAGGAGGTTAGTGCCGCCTCAGCCTTGCCTCGTTGACCAGCATCCCCGGTGATGACCCATTAGCAACATCGCCAGACATTGTCTGCGCGGCCATCATTTTACTGTCGTTCCCACCCCCTCTGTTCATCCTCTCATTTTTGTCACTCACCATCACCCGTTAGCCGTGTTAATGAACCTCAACCGTCACCCCCCCCTCGCGTTAACTTTCATTATCGTCTTCCTTCATCCACTGTCGGCGAGAGTGGCCTTCGCTGCCGGCCCCCGTTAAGTCTCATTACCAGGTACCGCCCCCCTTTGCCACCTGTCGCCATTCTCCGTGATCTCCTGGCTGCTTTCAGCGCCATCAGAGGTTGGCACTGACTCGCGAGCCCAGGAAGCCCTGTGACGAAGCCGCCCCGATTCCCTGGATGTCCTCGCTGCATCTGCATTCTGCCCCGGTCTCCCTGTTGTTGGGGGATGTTGGCTTCTCACTCTCCCCTGCTGCACCTCTGTCCTCAGTTTATCAGCCAGTTTGAGGAGGAAATACCTATCCTAAAGGCCGAGGTGGGGCGGCTCAAGGTCCAAGTCCAGGAGCCACGAGAGACCGTGTTTGCGGATGTTCTGCTTCGGAGACCCAAGTATGTGATCTTTTTGGCAGCTGCCTCTTAAACGCGCCATGCCGTGTGCTTGAAGAGGCTCTCTGTTCCTGGGGAAGGCAGAGCCCTGCACAGGGGGCCGGGGAGACCTGGGTCTCGCCTCACCTCGCCTCGCCTCTGCAGCTGACCACGTGGCAGATGTGACGTTGCCCGTCTGGGCCTGCTTGTCCCACCAGCGCACGGGCAGCTGACTTACATCATCTCTCTGGAACCCCCTTCTGGTTCCCAGATTCCGTGTTCCCACCAAGTGGGTGCACCCCTAAGCTTCTTGGTTGTTCAGGAAGGCGCAGTTGAGTGGGGTGGTTGACGCCAGGGAATAGCCTGGAAGACACTCTGAGGAGAGAAGGATGTCCTCTCTGCTTGGTACACCGCTGGGCTCCAGAGGAAGAAATTCCTTCCTTCCAAAGCCAGTTCTCTGCCACCTTTCTTGTGTCAGGCCCTTTGTGGCAGAGCTTGGGGGTCCTACTAGGTCTGGCCTCTCCGTGATGGCGCGCAAGACCTGGGGCACCTCCATGTGGAGGCCTCAGGTAGGCAGTTGACCTCAGAAGATGGGTACTGGCTAGCGATGGAAATTTAGGTATTGCCAGTATAGAGATGCGTTTCCTTTTTCTTCTTTTTTAATGTTTACTCATTTTTGAGAGAGAGAGAGACAGACAGACAGACAGAACACGAGGAGGGGAGGGGCAGAGACGGAGACACAGAATCCGAAGCGGGCTCCAGGCTCTGAGCTGTCAGCACAGAGCCCGACCTGGGGCTCAAACTCACGAACCGCGAGATTGTGACCTGAGCCGAAGTCAGAAGCTTAACCGACTTGAGCCGCCCGGGTGCCCCTAGAGATGCTTTTTCTTTTTACCATTATTATGAAACATTTCAAATATACAGACAGTAGAGAGAATATTAGGATGAATACCCGGTGGCCCGTGTAGTTTTAGGAGCGGTTATACTTTTGCCATATTGGCCTCATCGTCATTCCTTCTTCTTGTGAAGTGTTGTGAATTGCAGACAGCCTGACATGTCACGTCTAAAGACGTCCGTGGGCACCAGGAGACTAGGGAAAGCGTGAGCACGGATGGGAGAATTGGGACGGGGTGGAGACAGAGTGTCCTGTGTGGCCTCGTGGGTGTGCTGATCACTGGGGGGCGGGGGGGATGTACTGGAGATGCAAACCCATGGCGCTGGCTACTTGTGTGGAAAGAATGATGCCTGTCAGTTACCGAGCGCTCTTTACGAGCCGGCATGGTCTCACTCAGTCCGCCTGCCAACCACGGAGGCTGAGTCTGGCGCCCTGCTTGGCTTCTCACATCTTCTTTGCTCTTCCCTACCAGGTGTCCCCCAGACATGGACGTCATCCTCAACATCCCTGTGGAGGAACTGCTCCCCTTCTAGATGGCGGGCCATGGGCCACCCTTCCCTCCCTGCTCTTTCCCCCATATCTGGAGCCTTGACTTGTCTCCTTCCACGGCCACGTGTCCACTCAGACCCTGGTCTGCCCTCTCTCCCTTCCTCTCTTCCTTTCTGCCTCCCTCCCTCTCTCCCCCCACCCTTCCTCTCCTTTCCTCCCTCCCTCCCCCTCCCCCTCCCCCTTCCTCTTTTCTTTCTGGCTGGTGCAGCTGCTTGGGCCAGGTGTGCATTCCCAGTGAAGCGTGCCATTTCTTTTTTACCAATAAAGCTGGCTTTGCATTTGCTCCCTTGCTTGGAGATTTCCGGCTAGGCCTGGAGATGATGTGGTAGGCACGGACTGTCTTAAGATAAGGGGTGGGTAACTGTGCTGACTGTATCTGGGGGCACAGAACATCTCAAGAAGGGCTCCTGACCCCCTGCCTGAGTCTCCATGGCTCCGGGCTGCCCCGCCCCTGGCATCCCTGGTGCGGTGGGAGCCCAGCTTCCCTCCGGATTTGTACCCAGACCTTTTGAGGCCAGTGCCAGGGCGGAGGGGAGACCCCCCCGAGTCCGATGCACCTGGGATGTTGCTGGGCTTTCATAGCCGATGGCCGTCTCTATTCTCGTGCAGCTGTCTGTCTGTCCACGGCCTGTGCCCCAGCTGTGCGTGGACGTGACACCCGCCCAGGTGCGTAGTTGGGCACAGCCCCCAGCGCGTGCTCCCGGACTCCCTGCGTGCAAGGACTGTCCCTCCAGTTATTGGGAGTGCTGTTAGCACACATCCCTCGGCCGTCGGACCCTCAGGGGCTGCCTCAGCTGCAGAGGCCACTTCACCCAAGGTCAGCTGTCCTCCCACATCCGATGACTGCTCCGGGTGCAAATGCCGAAGTCCTGGCCATCTTGGCCTCACTTGGGACAACCCCGAAGGCCTGTTCTGGCTCCAGAACTCCCTGCAGGGTCAACTGAAACAGTCCTTGGGCCTGCCTCGCAGCTTGACCTCTCCCTCTGCCCAGTCCTGCCTCTCCCTTCCTCAGTTGACTCCCGGGTGCCCATTAAAAAACATCCTGCACTTTGTACTTCACCTCAGACTTGGCTTCCCTCGGACCCAGACTCTGGCTGCTCACGGATCCACTCTATCGAGGGACTTTGGGCTACAGGTTACGGGACACCTGACCAAACTGGCCTGAACAACAAAGGGCTCAGGTAGATAAGTGTTCTAGGTGAGGCGAGGCTTTACCCGGAAATCAAGCGAGGACACCTTCCTCTACTTTGTTCTCCAAAGTGTTCTCCTCCCCCTGAGGCTGGCACTCCTGTGGTCACGGCGTGGCTCCCAGCATCTCCTGGCAGGGCGGGGGTTACGATTCGTTGTTCACGTCCTACTGGAAAGAGTGTCTCTCCCAGAATTTTCAGCCAAAGTCTTCCATCTTCACTGTGACCGGACCGGCTTATACCGCGTGCCCACCTTGAAGCAGTCAAGGAAGTGGAGAATGCCTTCGGGTTTAGTCTAGGGCATGCACACCACCCTTGGAGCAGGGGAGGGGTGGTTGGGGTGGAGCACGTGACCTAGGCTAAGGCGGTAGGCACCTCCAGAACCACACGGGTCCCCAAATTGAAATGGAAAATGTTTTTTTTTAATATTTTATTATTTTTAAAATTATTATTATTATTTTTTAACATTTATTAACTTTTGAGAGACAGCACAAGCGAGGAGAAGCAGAGAGAGAGGAGACACGGAATCCGAAGCAGGCTCCTGGCTCTGAGCTGTCAGCACAGAGCCCGACCCGGGCCTCGGGCCCACGAACTGTGAGATTATGACCTGAACTGAAGTTGGACACTTAACTGACTGAGCCACCAGGTGCCCCTAAAGATTTGTTTAAAAGTAATCTCTATACCTGGGGCGCCTGGGTGGCTCAGTCGGTTGAGCAGCCAACTCCGGCTCAGGTCATGATCTCACAGCCTGTGAGTTCGAGCCCCGCGTCAGGCTCCGTGCTGACAGCTCAGAGCCTGCAGCCTGCTTCGGATCCTGTGTCTCCCTCTCTCTCTGCCCCTCCCCTGCTTGCGCTCTTTCTCTCTCTCTCTCTCTCTCTCTCTCTCTCTCTCTCAAAAATAAATAAACATTAAAAATTTTTTTAAAGTAATCTCTATACCTAACGTGGGGCTTGAACTCACAACCCTGAGATCAAGAGTTGCATACTCCACCGACTGAGCCAGCCTGGCGCCCCGGAAGTGGACAGTGTTGAACATAATCCGAACAAACACTTAGCTGGCACTTACTCTCTCAACCCTATGAGGTACGTGTTGTTAGCATTTTCCATTGTACAGAGGAAGAACCCAATATGTGAAGGGGCAAAGGGATTTTTCCAAAGTCACCAGGCTAATCAGTGGTAGAGACCGGTCACTCTCACTTAACCACTGTACCATCAGGAGCTCAGCTGAGCCGCAGAGCTGAGGTGTCCGAACAGCCGGTTAAGTCACAACTAATGTGACAGTCAAGCCTTTTGTTGCTTACCCAGTGCAAGGAAGAGGCTAAGCCAGAGAAAGTGTCCACATCCGCCCTGTTGCATTTTCCCCAAGGAATGGCCCACTTGGTCAGGTGGATCAGTGCCTGGGGGTGGTTTTGCTGCTGAGGGAGCCCTGAATGAAAGGCTCTTGGAGTTTTGTGAATCTGCCCCCCCCCCCCCCCCCAAGGGGTTGAGATGGGGAAGGGAGAATGGGAGGGGCTACGAGAAGGAAAGTAAGTGCTGGGTCCTGAGGCAGACTGGAGACAAGTATCTTCAGGGGTTCCCCTCCCCCCTGATACGGAGGCCTTGGCAGAGGTACCCGAGGAGGGCCTTGGTGGCTGAGTCCCTGGTTGCTCCCCATTCAGAGACTGCCGTGCACTGGCGGGGCAACGAGGCTGGTGGGGGGAGAACTTTTCCCGGGGAGGCCTACCAGGGAAAGCCTTCGTAATGGCCTATGGCCTAAAAAAATCACGTGGGTTTTTTGGGTTTTTTGGCTCGGATCACGATCCCAGGTTCATGGGATCAAGCCCTGCATGGGGTTCCGCACTGAGCGTGGAGGCTGCTTAAGATTCTCTCTTTCTCTCTGTCTCTGTCTCTGTCTCTCTCTCTCTCGGCACCTGGGTGGCTCAGTTGGTTGAGCGTCCCGACTTCGGCTCAGGTAATGATCTCGCAGTCTGTGAGTTCGAGCCCCGCATCGGGCTCTGTGCCGACAGCTGGGAGCCCGGAGCCTGCTTCGGATTCTGTGTCTCCCTCTCTCTCTCTCTGCTCCTCCCCCGCTCACACTCTGTCTCTCTCTCAAGAAATAAACATTAGAAAAAATAAAAATAAAAAAGATTCTCTCACTCTGCCCCTCTACCCTGCCCACGCTCTTTCTCTCAAAAATAAATAAATAAATAAATAAATAAATAAATAAATAAATGTAATAAAATAATATTCTAATGGGTGTAAAGTGATATCTCATTGTGATTTTGATTTGTGTTTGTCTGACCACTAATGATGTTGAGCATCTTTCATGGGCTTATTTCAAAGAGCCTTTTGTGTGACTGAGTACTTTGAACTTCTGATCTTCCTGAGATATTTATTAGCAAAAGTTTCTACAACCATTGTACAGCCCCAAACCGTCTTTTTTTTTTTTTTAAGTTTATTTATTTTGAAAGAAAGAGAGACTGCATGAGTGGGGGAGAAGCAGAGAGAGGGGGAGACAAAGAATCCCAAGCAGGCTCTGCATTGTCAGCACAGGGACCCGAGGCGGGGCTAGAACTCACGAACCTCAAGATCATGACCTGAGCCGAAATCAAGAGTCGGACGCTTAACTGAGCCACCCAGGCGCCCCTACAGACAAAAACGCTTAGCGTTTTCCCTAGAACATGTTTTCCTTACAGTGAATCTCTTAATGTACCCTTCGTCATTGCCCGGTGTATTTCCCAAACCAAGCAAGTCCTGGTTGCTTTTGGGTTGACAGCTTTTTCCCTCGCTTTATCTCTCTTCTCTCCCTTTTACTATCAACAGCAAGAAGAAACCAGGCTTCACCTTCAACAGGTTCTAGTTTAGGTGACCGGCAGGAATTAGGAGGGATTTGGTAAGGCCCTGAAGGGTAGGGACCTACCCCGAGGACCGCTGGTTCCCAGTAACCCGGTGAGGATCGACCGTGGCGTGGGCATACCGGATATCGCCAGCAGATGGCGGTAAAAGGCCAATAAAAATTAACCTTCAGGGCCGGCTCCCTCGGAGTGGACGGCCGGTTTGTAACTCGCCCGTGGCGCGTTTTATCGGAGTTCGCAATTGCAGACGATCATTTGGACCGTGAGAGTGGCGAGGGGGAGACCTCGGTTATGTGCCTGTTGCCATTGCCTGCTCCATGCATCCAGCCTCACCCCTTCCTATTCTTCTCCGGTCCCGATTTCTAGTCCCACTTTCCTTGCCTCCGTCAAACAGGCTGATTTCCCGCTCAGCCTTTGCGCTGGCAGGGCCCCTGGTCTGAATGCTCTTGTGTCCGTCTTACCATGCGGTGGTAGTTCAAATTTCCTTTCTCAGAGAGGTCTTGCCTGACCGCAATTTCTAAGGTGGTTCTCCTTGCCCATCACATCGTTCTATTTTATTCTAATTAATTTATCTATCATTTTATTTTATTTATAGCATCGACTACTGCCGGACATTAACACATTCATTTACTTCTTTTTATATCTGTGGTCTGAGTCCCCCAGCTATAAGGTAAGCAGCAAGAGGATAAGCAATTTGTCTTTCTGGTTTATGGCTACCCCTGGTGTGGGGCGCAGCGCCTGGCACACAGTTGATGCTCAACAAATACTTATCAAATTACTGAACGAGTGAACTGGCCCTGCTATTCGTAAAGCTAGGTTTCAGCAGTGACACTTGCATCGTCATGGAAACAGAGCCCCAACCCAGGGAAAAGGCTCCAATGAAGAGGCAAAAAGGAGTATAAGGCAAACTGCATTATAAGACCATCGCTGCTCTGTGAGCTTCCGATGGCAGGACCTGGGTGCTTGGCCACACCCTCCCATTGCGCTGAGGCGACAAACAGGACGTCTGTAACCTCCACGTCACCTTTTATCTTCACGCAGGCGTGTCCCTGGGTTAAACATTGCACAATCTTTTTGTGCAGCTTTTTTTTTAATGGTTGGCTTGAACCTGCAAATCGTCTCTTAAGAATGCAGCCGCGTTGGGGTGCCTGCGTGGTTTAGACGGTTGAGCGGCCGACTTCAGCTCTGTCATGATCTCACGGTTGTCGAGTTCGAGCCCCGCTTCGGGCTCTGTGCTGACAGCTGGGAACCTGGAGCCTGCTTCGGATTCTGTGTCTCCCTCTCTCTCTGCCCCTAATCCACTCGCATTCTGTCTCTCTCTCAAAAATAAATAAACATTAAAAAAAAACAAAAACAAAAACAATGCAGCCGCATAGGGGCGCCTGGGTGGCTCAGTGGGGTAAGCTCACAACTCTTGGTTTCCGCTCAGGTCATGATCTTGTGGTTTCATAAGTTTGAGCCCTGCGACGGGTTCTGCACTGACAGTGCTGTGGAGCCTGCTTGGGCTTCTGTCTCTGACCCTCCCCCACTCGCGCTGTCTCTGTTTCTCTCAACATAAATAAGTAAACTTAAAAAAAATTAACAAACAAAAGAATTCAGTAGCATTCACACACAAAAAAAAAAAAAAAAAAAAAAAAAAAAGAAAAGAAAAGAAAGAAAAAATGCAGCAGCAACTAGGGACGCCTGGCTGGCTCAGCGGTTGGTGCATGCAACTCTTGATCTCGGGGTCGTGAGTTCAAACCCCGTGTTGGGTGTAGAGAGGACTTAAAAGTAAAATCTTTAAAAAAATGCAACAGCAACTCGTGCCCACCCCACCTGAGCAGGGTTCAATTACCTCCATTTCCCATGAAAATGCATCATGGTGACTAGCTCTGAATGGGCCCTTGTACTCATGGAATTTCTGCAAAGTTCTGTCTTAGGCAAATTAGAATTTGCGTAGAGGGTTAAGTAGGGGAGATGATGCAAGATGCAAAGGCAACAAGTACAAGCTCTCACGGCTTAAGACAGTGGTTTGGGGGGCGCCTGGGTGGCGCA